GAATATTGAGAGAAAATAGAAAAAAATATTTGGAAACTGCTGGGAAACCAACTTTTTGAAATAATCGTGTTCTTAGATAAGTACTTTACAAATCGTAAAGAAATTGAAACGAATATTGCTTCCTTTCAAGCGTGGCCGGATTGATATTTCCAGATATGCGGGGATTTTATGAAAATCCTCGGAATCGACAGGTTTTAAATTAGTCCATACTTTACTTTAAAGTTTTTTCGCTCTTACAATTACGTTTATATTGATAGTTCATGTATATACGTTTTTTAATTATCGTCATATAGAAAGAGAGAATACAAAAAAAATTTAATTATTTTTTATAATTAAAAAATCATCAATATATACATGAAAAAAAAACAAGTCACAATCATTGGTATTGATAAGTCTAACAAAAAGTACTAGTCTTCTTTTTTATTTTTATGAAAAATGAATGGAAGTTTTTCTCCAGATTACATACTGTAATGAACAATATAACGACAGTCAATTGAAATAAAAGTATCCATATATTGGAATTTTTTGCATGTCTATCAATAACTTCTTTATTAAAGGTTTTGAAGTAAGTACTTTTTTTCTTACACACATGAAACTATTTGCAAATATTCCATGTATTTCATGATAAATTTTTATCCAAGTGTACTGAGGTGTGCTTTAATCGTGAATCCGGGAGTTCATTCAAGACAAGCACTCGTGATATTGCGGGGAACTAAACGGAAAAAGTACAGCAGCATCGTTACCACCAGCAACATGCGAGAATTTATCGCTTGTAAAAATGAAAGAACATAAAAAAAATAGCCTCATGCCTTTATTTAATTTAAATTTTTATTTTATAGATTTATTTAATGTCGTATGAAATGTTCAGTGAAATAAAAATACTCTCTACTTGTCGCAATGTTTTTTTTATCAGTTATCAAGAAAATGTTTTAAACGAATTTAAGAATTAATATAAATGCTCTTTTTATAGCTCGATCATGACATGTAAATGGAAATTTGTCTACCGAGTTTTTAAAAAAATGATCCATTATAAATCTAAAAATTAGCATTTGTGAAAAAGGAGATATTTTATAAATACAGATAAAATAACCTAATTGCAAAAAAATTGAAACTAAAAATAAGTAAAAAAAAAAAAATGATATAATGGACGTCATAATTGAGCTTTTATTGACCATTACTATATTAATTGTACATTAAATCTGAACTACATCGCTAGTATTTTCGGTGTTTAAAATCTTTTTTTCCAGTTTTTATGATAGCTTATTTCACTAAAGCTACGTTTTAAACTAGTGTTTAATCAATAAGCATTAGTATAGGTAAAAAATGAAAAATAAAATGAATTAGCACTGCTGTAGAAATCTAACAGAATTGTAGATCAGTATTTTTAGTTGACTTTATTTCTCTAAAAAACATAGTTCTCTTTTCTAATCAATTTCCACCAATTAGTGATCAATACTTGAACTATTATTTTTCGAGCAAAAAATGATCATCATCACTTTGGATGTTGGTATCGGGGTGATCGGGTGTTCATGACGTATATCACATTAGTAATTATATTTCAAATAGGTACATTAGATTCACGCATCTCCTCCCATTTAATTTTAGCTTATGTACTCAACGTGTGGATGATTTACCGGGTGTACTAGGCCGACAATACATTTTATAACGCAACAGCGCACGTTTAATAACGCTACAATTGTGCGGTGTGCCTGTAGGATTCACATACAGGACAGGCAAGTGTTGTGTATACATACATTTGCACATTGGATGATACAAGCGGCTGTCGGGTTGATGTGTTGCTACACTACATGGGCTTGGCGTGATTAATCGACGCAACATCGTAATTTCGTCAAAATAACCCTAGGTTGACGTCTTTTGTCAGTATCCTAAAAGGTCTTTACGGATATTAGAACTTTATTACGAAAATTCATGAATAGTCTAAAGAGACTGAATTGATTGGAATAAATGAGCTATTTCTAATTAGGAAGAAATTAATTGGCAATAAGATTCAGAAGATAATACTTAATCTTAAAGTATACTCTAATTAGAAGCCAGAGAGTTTCCATATATTCAACATCTCTTTTCGATTGAACCTGTTCATCCATCATTTGCAGCCCGAAATGCTTTTCATTTCATGTCGATTAAACATCTCAGTATCGTTAGTACATAAGTGATAGAGTAAAGTGATCATTTACTGTTGGGATTTCAAATCAAAACTCCCCTGTGATCTTAGCCGTCGATCTTTAACGGATATTCGAACTGTTTCTGGAGAAACTAACTTAACACTTCCCTTTGCAGCCGCATGAAATTTCCGCTACGCTTCAGTTTTGACAGAGAGAAGACCGAAGAGAGGAATAATGTATGTCTACTCATTTAGCACAAGTACTAGATTATTACCAACTTTCAGATTTTCAGATAAAATTATAATAATGACTAATTATGATTAATTAATCCTTCCTTTCTCTCTCTTTCTCTGTTTACTGTTTTACACCTGGGATCACTGTTTGAAGATATTTCGTTACAAATGTGCTAGTTTTCTTATTAATAATTCTCACATATATCTAGTAATCTATTCATGAGTACATGTAAATATGTTTTAAGTAGATAAATAAACTTTTTTTGTCAATTTTGTTCTTTTACAGTTTGTCTTTTTTTTTTCTTTATTTAAGTTGTGTTTGAGTTCCCTTTATGGTAAGCTTTAATGTGTGACACAGTTCCTTTGTAGCTTATATAGTTTTTTACACCTAGAGGATAATATTTTTTCATTTTTATTTTGTGAAAAAAAAAAATAAACACCGAAAAAAGTTAAATATTAGACAAATAAATATGTTTTCATTAATATTAGTTTAAAGTTTGCATCAATCATATTAAAAATAAATAATAAAAAAACTAATTTTGCAAAGTTTCAATATGTTATTATCTATACACTGTACATTTTCGTGTTTCATTTTAAAACATTAAAAGTGTTTTAATATGACGACACCTATTTAATTAATATTATCTCAATTTTAAAACACTTAAAAACGTTTCAAAGTCGAGACAATGTTAATCAAATGGGTGACGTCATATTAAAACACTTTTAATATTTTAAAATAAAACACTAAAATTTACAGTGTATATACTTGAAATAAAATAAAACAGTAATCTACTGTCTTCTTTTTAATTTTATAATATTTTTCATGTAGTTTTACAATTTATGAAGCTGTTGAACCAACCACCGAGTATGAGGTAAATTTTTTCTTGAAACTATGCGTTAAGTTGAGGTTGAGAACAATGTCAGAGTGTGCTAAGAATGAACTGAGATTGAATAAAAAAATAATAAATTCTTGCTTTATACGTGAATTGTATATGATAAGGTATAAGAATTGTATCTTGAGAATTTTTTGTCGAATAGCTGAAAAATGTCCCTTGAGTATGAGAGTTATTGAAAAGTCTCATAGTAACATTTAATGCACAAGTTGAAAGCTCTAGGGTCCTCTGCAGTCTCTAGAGAACGAACGAACGAATGTTGAAGCGATGCTCCACTAGTGGCTCTCATAATCAAGGTAATGGTAAAACAAAGCGTGCGGCAATACGTGCCTTGTGACATAGCTCGTGAGGTGCAGTACAATGTGACAGGCATACATTACTGTTCATGTTCTGTGTTACATTCAATGCGTGTACACAACAATCTTGTGTGCATTAGACAACACGAGACCAGGAAAATGAAATTTTTGTACATCCTTATTAAAAATGTTAATTGAAATGAGTTTTCACACTGGATAGCAAATTTAACTCATGCAGAACAATTTTATTTACTTTTAGTTTCATGCTCAGTATGAATAGAGAGTTTTTATTTTGCTAATTCAGAATAGTTAGTCATATTGACATTTTTGTCATAATGAGGTGCTGTATAATCGTGAGACAAACGGCGATTTTAATAAAGTTTCACAAGTTAAACTTGAGTTGGAGTAATCATTTTACAGAATGAACGGTGTAATTTAAAGTTACATTATTTAGTCTATAAGTTATAAATTTAATTCACTACATTAACTTTTTATTTGATAAACGTATTCAAGAATCAGCCAACGCTTTGATAATCTTGGAATAAAGTTATTTTTGAGAAAATATCTTTCTCAAGATATTTCTCTGTTGTGATTATTCATTGTCAGTACTAAACTATCTTAGGTAATGATTATTGAAATTAAGTTAATTCATTTAATTACTCTAATAATATAAGCTCGTTAAATATTAAATTTTACCTAGAGCTACATTTCAAAACATTTGTTCATTAAAATGATGAAATAAAAAAATTAGAAATTTTTTCGCAAACTCGTGCAATTTTATACTAGACTCATGATAAAATTATTCAAAGTATGCATGTAATATTAGTGAAAATAAACAAACATAAAATGATAAGGTATATTTTTTGAAAGTATAATAATTGTAAATGTAAAATTCGCGATTTAAAATAGAACATTTTTCTTCTAGTAATATTATAAGTGAAGAAAAGTTATATATCTTTATATTGTGTTGCTTCATTGGGCTAAGCGTTTTAAAGTACTGAAGTGCACGTAGTTTCAATGTTTGCACAGTATAAAAAGGATAAAACACCAAGAATGAGAAAGATGGATAGTAGTGTCTTGTTTTCTCTTGGGATTTCACCTCTGGCAACGATGCGACTTGATATAACAGGTCGGGATGAATTTCAAATTGGATTCGTACCAAGAATATCTCCGCAGGCGCTTGCAATTTTATGAATTCTTAGATTGCTGGAGGAAAGAATAGAACTCACGAATTTTTCACGTTATTTTACGCTTACTCTTTCTGAAGCAAAAGATCGATTGCAGCTGGCTAGTGTATGATGAACGTGATAAAAATCTTGCTCTTTAAAGGGTTGGAAAAAAAAATTCATTGGGTTGAGATAGTGTATGGAAAAAATAGTGATACACTTTGTGTAATCAAAAGATGCAAGGTAACAAAAGTGTATAGTGTAACATATTGCAGCTTTATATACTTACGTTGAGCTGAAGATTTTCTATGTCGTTGTTGATGAAATAGATGAGAACTGTTTCGTTGTGTCGGTACATTAAAGCATCGTTCCAACATTGACATACGTTGTAGAGATATCAGTGATCATCTAAAAAAAAAAAAAATATCTATACGAATTCAATTTCGATTGACATCATCACTTGCAGAAGTGTGTAGGTAAAAATGTAAATAAATCTGATATAGAAGGCTTGTAATTTAAAGGAAAAATCAATGAAACGACAAATATAAATATATATATACATATATAAAGAGTTCATTGAAAAAAATTATCGACAGGTTTTCATTATTATTATAAACAGAGAGAATTGAATATACATCAATGAGTTTCTATATAAATAACTGGAATCGATGTTAACATTCAACCAGAGCTAAAAATAAAATTTAACTGAAAATAATTTTTTTTTAATTCAAATAAATACTTTATGTATTTATTAATAGATAGCTTATTTTAAAAAAAAAAATAATTAAAATGTAAACCAAAATGTTCGTTTTCAACAGCAATTAATAATCGTGTGAAATGAAAAATCTGTAAATCAATTGAAAATAAAATGTATCTGTGAAAAAGCTCATTTATCATCGAGGATAATACTTTGGAGTGGACTTGTCATTGCTGGTTATTGTTGAAAGTATGTATGACAGAAGTCTTTAGATTTTACAGTGTCTGTGTTGAGGGATTGTCAGATAACGTTCTTTCGTCGACCCTTTTCGCCTGTATTACACTTGTTCGCTCATACTTGTGAAGCCAAGCGCAAGATTTGCAGGCAGGCGAGCACAATGGCTTCCTCTGCAGCAGAGCTATGTGTCAACCCCTCATATAATTTATCCAGGAGCCACGCAAATGCGCTTGAGGTCTTGTAGTGTGGTTTCCACGAGCGATTATGCTTTTCTCCTTCACTTTGCTTTTCGACCAAGGGTGAAAGCATAAAGTGTGGTTACTTGATATCAAACGTATGTCGTGTGTGTAAAAGTTTTATAGGTATAGACATTAGTAGTCAAATCGATTTGATTCTTTATCTTGGCTTTTAGTGATTATGAAATGTATGTAACAGTAAGGGTGAAATGTGAAGAGGGTGAGTAAAAGAGGACCCTCAACTCCTCTACATTTTTCTTGACTTTAGTAAAGTTTTTCATAGGGATGGACTATTTATGAGGCAGTCTGTAAGGGTGAATTCTAGGCGCCATGAAAACAAGTCGCGGCGCTCTTTATTTATAGATTTTTCCGTAAATTATTCGACAGTGTGGCGCCAGATACTTTAAAAACATTTTACAAATGACTCTGCAGAGCAAATGAAGAAAATAGGAAAAAATTTAAGCATTAAAATTTATCTAGTAAAATCACTATAAAGACATCAATTTCCTTGAGTATCTGACAGGGAGTTTAGTAGATTATCATCTGGTTCTAAGCATACGATACGACATCACACTTTACTAGGGGTGCAGCTGGTCTAAAAGCATGCAATGGCTCTACTATAATTTACGCATACAATACCGAGCGGATTATAAATGTCTGTGTGGTTGACAAACTGTCATGAAGTACTGCACCACACTATTCTGACACTGTTGCTTTATTTATTTTATATAGAACAACATATGCGGGATGATAGTATGAGAATGTGTATATGAAAATAGTAGCAGAAAAAATTTTAATTAATCACTAGATGCATGATGTACACGAACTTAGTTATGTAGTTAGTTATTTTTTCTTAGCATTAAATTAACATTATATAGAGAATGTTATGATAATATAACTACACAGCTTGAAAATATTTTTTTACATTACGATTTATTTGAATCTAGATTTTCCAGATTACTTTATTTTATTATGTAACATATTACACTACATTAATTTTTTTTAACGGATGAACTTTTTTCTTTAGCAGAAAGTGGGAAAAATTTATCAGATATAAACAAAATAAATCTCTGTATACTCAAAAGTTCGCTTGAGTTGAGAACATGTCTGCAGGAAATTTTTTATTTAGTCAAAAAGAAAGAGCTTATTCTCCTTTTGACATTTACATATGTGGATGAATGACAATAAAAAACTAGGTGAACGTGTTTATTATAGAGAATTCGTTTGAAAACTCTATTTAGCTCTAGTTTTATATCTGTAATGTTTGTACGATTTTTTATGTCAGTAGCAAACGATTTATTATTAAATCTGACCCACTTGTGTATCTTAAAAATATTCCAACTAATAATTTTTGCAATATTTAACCTTTATAAACGTTGAAAAAAAAATCAATAATTACAAATAACATTTAAAATCTTTAGAGAATGTATTTAAAATTAAAATATTTATTTACATAATTAAATAAATAAGAATCTTCGGTTTATCTACTCAAAAATAATTACGATTCGATGAAGTTTGTTCAAAGTATATCAAATTACCTAAAGATCTATTAAACCCTCAAAGTTATTTAATTTTGATATGCTAACGATACACCGACAATGTTAATTTGAAGTAAATATCAGGCTCATATTATTGAGGAATACGCAATCGTAATCTCTGAAATTATCCAGTTTAAAGGGTTACATGTGACTGGGATGACTGATTAATAATAATTGAGGTATTCTAGAGAAATTACTACTTGACATTTATGTCTATAGTCACTGATTTGATTACATGGCACGTGATGAAGAGGTAGGAATTGAAATCTTGGAAATGGTTGTCGTGATGAAACGACTAGTGGCTTTCTGAATCTGTGCATGGTCCCCTTATACATATATACTATCCCCCAACTGAGTTTCGGGTTCAATTATTTGAATGGTATACCAATTCATTTTTGAACTGATAGCCTCTTCAAGTTTTCATTCTCGTAGCCAACACTGAGGTATTGATGCTGATGGTGAAAATCACTTAGGTGTAGTACGCGACTGCAATGACTAATTGCATGAAATCACGCGCAACGTGTTCACCATAGTGTGTCTACAATCATGTATACATGTATATGCATGTGCCTTTAGAGGGCATTCGCCCCAACCCGTTAGGTCTTACCCCGAGAGAGCAGTACGTCAGGATTATTTCCAAACACGACATGAGCTTGCATTTCATATTTCCTGTGTTATAATCGATTCAATTCCGTTGAGCAATTACTCTACCTATCACTATACTCTCGTTTGCAAAAAATAAATTCGGATTGATCAAAAATTCGTCATTCGCTAAATAAATAAAGAGATTAGATTTGTTAATTTTTTTTTCTCTTTTTAATTAACGAAAATAACGAAAAAAAAAAAGTTTTCATTATTTTAACGTCATGGATGGCACATGTATTTTTAAAAATTGTTTGCATGGGTTAAAAACTACATCAAGTACACATAAAAGATAAAAGAGTCGAGTAAAGAGAAAATGTGAACGGTCCTCATATTGTTCGGAGAAATTTCACGTCAGGGTTGTCCTGGAATAATGAAAAAGTCGGACAATAACAGACATCTCGTTTTCTCAAATTCAAATACACTTGTCGAGTGATGTATACATAAAAAAGAATTTACAAGCGAATTTGTTTATGTCCATTTGAATTCAATATTTTAATTGATATTAATTTAATACTAAAAACATAAATAGCATCTAGAATACAATACATACACTTCAATAAATCGATTACTATTTAAATTCCTCATTTCACTTGTACAATCTTAATTGGAAAATACTTGTATAATTGATGAGAGGATTTTACTGATGGAGCTTGAGTAAAGTAGGTTCTATTGAATGAAAATTATTTAATATCGCGATACATTGTAAAGTTGCATTCTTGAAATACTAGCTTTGAAAGCCATATATCCGAGTCTATTGAGACGTAAACTATTGTAATTTTTTTTTCATGTCAATACCAGTAGCTCATTATACTTGTCCACACAATATGAATGTGTGAATCACTTATTTTAAATGTTATAAGGAAATTGTGGCAATATTTTCATTTATTTATATAAAAAAATTTTGAAACTTATAAAATAAAAAAAATTTATAAATAAAATTAATAAAAAATTAATTAATTAATTAATATAGCTCCAAACGACTTTTTAACAAATAATTACTTGATGATTTTCAACAATAAATTTTAATACAAAAACCCCAATATGGGTGGTTTTTCAATAAAAATATAATTATAATTACATTTGTGTCATTCAAAACAATTTAATTTATCAAGAATTTGATTTTATCAATTAACTTATGTATATCAAATAGTGAGTTTATTGTTATTATTATTATTTTATTGTTCAAACCTTGATTATTATTTTTTTGTTGTATACATTAGATCTTTGAATTGAACTTTCTGTTACAACTTGGTGTTTAAAACAGTGAGAGACACTCATACACAAAAGTTCACAGCATTAAACAGTAAATACATTCAGAAACCGCTGTTCTAAACAGTGACTATTTCAATTACTGTTCAAAACAATGCAAATTTCACTGTTTTAACTTTCGAAACTAGGTAATTACATAAACTGAAAAAAATAATGATACTGATTTAAACCACTCGTAAATTCTTTTGCGAAATAAATGAATTCTCAATCTTATTCTTTTATTTTCTTATCTTCATAATATTAGTAATCACAAGCAACGATTATAAATTATCTGAAGATGACTAATAAGAATAGTCATTCACAAACACGTCATTCTGTACTCAACTTGCATAACAATGTTCTTTCGACAACTACTTCCAGAAGTATTTTCAATACTGCCAATAAAAAGTATTAAAAATGAATTTAGCAAAAAAAAAAATTTTTTAGCTTTAAGATGGAGTATTACAGAACTAGAAATTGACAAGAAGCATAAGAAAAAAAAGCTATTTTCCAGAATGAAAACTAATGCCAATCGAAATGTTTATATGAGAAAATTTTTTTTTTTTATATTAAATATATATTCACTATTTGCTATGTAGTATGGTATATAGTCATTATATCTTGCTGGATGCTATTTTCCAAATGCAGGAAATTCTTTCATTTCAAGTTTCTCTTAGCGAATACTCTCGAAGAATAAGAAACGTAAAAAAAGAAGTGCTAGTTTGAAAATCTCTCTTTTCCCGGATGATGAGGAAAGAGAACGAAAAGAAGGCAGAATAGTGGAGGATTTTCTCGAGCTTGCCTAGC